TGGAGCACTGGGTGTTATGAACAAACAATGAATCATGGAACACTGCACCAAAAACTAATGATGTAATATATGGTGATTAACATAACAATAAAATTTTAAAAAAATAAATAAATAAAATATATAATAGATAACAATTCCCAAAGTGGATTTATTATGGTAAACAATATTAAACATGTTTGAAAGGTACTGTTATTTGTAATGTGACAGAACAGCTGAGCAAATGAGCTAAGGCAAATTAGTTTTCAATTTTTGTTACATCCAGAGGAGAAACATTTTAAGAGACATTCAGTACTTTCAAAAGCAGTGGGATGGTCTGATATGTTACTTTCCAGTCCCCACCCCACTCCTCTGCTCTTTTTTTTCCCCCCTTTGTGTGTTTGTGTGCGGGTGGTCATTAGGAATTTATTTTGTGGCAGTAGTGTAGACTGTACTGAGGATAGAGAGCTCTGAAAGGGATGCAGATGCAGGAGAAGGGTGCAAATGGGAAATGCCTCAGCTTATGGGACAGCTGAGTGGGAAGGCTAACCTGTTAAAATCTCAGTTTTGTGTTAAAGACTTGCTTTGAAGAGCTCTCACTTCAAACAAGGAATTGTTTTTGAGAGATCCATTAAAGCATCTATAAAATGAAAACTGTGTCTCTAAAGTGTTATGCCATTAATACTATACTGAGTCCTATGAGTCAAAGGGAAATACCAACAGGAGATGGTCAACAAAGGTCTTCATTTACCCATCAGGGCAGAAACTGAAGTTATTTGTGCACTGGGGGTTTTGGATGAAAGAAATTATTCTATGTACTCTCCAATATTCAAGTCTCCAGAAAATCCCATTCAGTCTAAACTCTGGGAAATTCTTTTTAAAAATAATCCTAAACGAGTATGTCTAATACTAGAGCTGACGCTATCGCCGTGTGGACTAACACACACTTTCTTGCCTTGCCACACCCCAACACCTGCACCTCCATTGCCGTCACCGGGACAGTTGCTTGAATTCCACACCCTCCCCTCCAGGGAGATCTTGGGAGCATGGCACCTCTGCAGTTTCTTCTCTCCATTCTCCAAACCCTTTCGCAGAGAAAACACAAACCACTAAATCCACACTTTTAAGCATAAAAACTGGAAACTCTTCCAGATGTATCACAAAAGAGCACACTTTGAGGCCAGTTCCCATTTGTAAAGAGTCATTTCATCAGCTCATTTTGCTGGAACAGCTGCCTTGCAGCTCAACGCCCTCATTTGTACAATTCATTGTCCATAAACATATCTTAGATCATAAACACCAACCCAACATTTCTAACTCGTTGATTCAGAGAGAAGACAAAGCTTTGATCCATCCACTCGCCCGCCGGTCCTTGGATGCGGGGATGCGGGTCTGCGGCTCCTCTCCACAGCACTTCCCGAGCGCAGTCCCGGGCTAGTCTGAAGCTCCGCGCGTAATCGCGCCGTCAGAGTTTCGGATTTTTCCCTGTATGTCTCCCAAATTCTCGGAGAATTGTCCCTAATTTCCTCTCCAGGCGAATCTCGTCCTGAGTCGCGGCTTTCCAGGGCACAGAAGACCGGAAGCTGGGCTCTGGCCTCCCCGAGCCGGACAAAGTACCACCCAAACCCACGCCTATCCCACCCCTCCACCCACCCGGACTCTACCCTCTCTGCCCCCTACCCCAACAGCCCCCTTCCCCCCGCATCACACCACCGAGCCCAACCCCAGTCCTGATCCAGCCTTCCCACGCCCTCGTGCCTCAGGCACACTTCGCCTCGGGCCAGGAGACTCGTGGGTGAGCTCTGAATAACTTTCAGCAGAAGCAAAACCTGGAATCCGGTGTTCAGAGTTAATTCCACGCGGGGACCCAAGAACACCACTGCAGCCCCTCCACTCACTAACGTCCCCATCCCAGGGGACCCTGGGGTGGGGCAGCCTCTTGAACCTCATATCACGTCTGCTTTACTCACTCAGGGATCCTGAAATACCTGACCAAGTACTGTTCGTCCCTCTCCACCCAGACGTGCCCCAATCATCAAAGCTAGCCCGGGGAGCCGGGGGAAGAGGGCGAGCCCCAGGCGCCCGCGAAGGCCCAGGAGAGCGCAGCCACGCCGGAGCGCCACTCGTAATTCAAACAATCGGACGTGACGTCCCAAACACAAAACTCAGTCCCGAGTCGTCCCTCCAAGGTTCGTTTTCTGCTCTCACCGGTCCAGGCCCAAATTTGGCTCGGCTGAGCCGCGGCCGTCAGCTCTCTGTCCGCTTCGCCCCGGTTCCGCTTTCCCCGCGGGACCAGGGCGGGTCCAGCCCTTCCCCATCCCGGCTCCCGCCCGGGCTCCTACTCACCGCGAGGGTCAGCAGCAGCCTGCAGAGGGCTCCGCGCAGGGGGATCCGAGGCTCGGCGGTGGCCATAGGGGCGCAGGGCGGGAAGGGGGAAGGCGGGCGCCGGGCGGGAGGCCAGAGGCGAGAGCCCACGGAGGTGCAGCGGCGCGCGCGGTGCGGGCGTGCCTCGCTGCCACTCCTCTTTAAGTCTCCTTGGCCTCTGTCAGGCTCGCCTGCCCGGGAGCGTGTTCGCTCCTGAGACGGGATTGGACCCAGGAGACGCCGAGCCGCCCCTCCTGGTTATTTCTCAAGTTTTATCACGCGGGGAGCTGGGGAGCTGCCCCAGCCTGCCCCTCCGCTCCCCGGGGGCCGCGCCGAGTGCTGGCTCGCGAGAAAGCGGTCCCAGCCCCACCCTCTGCCGGCTTTCCCACGCCCCTCGTCTGCCCGGCGGCGTCTCGCCCCGCCCTCCGTCCGCCCGGCCCTGGCCTCCCAGATTGTCCCGGGGCGTACCCCTCACCCGCGCTGCTTGTGCACTCCCGCTGCAGGGCCCAAGTCCGCCTGCAGGGATCCGTGTCCCAACACGGGCGCTCCGGGGTGCCAGGAACACCATTGTGATTGGATCAGGGGAGTCTCCCTTCAGCTCCTGCTCAGATGCTGGGCCCTGTCTCTTGGTTGATAGAACATTTATATATTCTTTCCAAATTTGACTAACATGGTAAGATAAAGGACGGAGGGAGAATTATCCCAAGTGGCATAAATAAACTGGCATTGCGTATGCCAGAAATTAAAACCAAGTAGAAGAAATTCTGATATCTGGCCATTTTAAGTACCTAAAATATGAGTGATTACATTCAGAGCTTTCTTTACTGCCAATTTTGTGACCTTATATGAAGCTTCTAAGGAAGAATTTGTTCTTATATGTAAATTGTTGATTCAGTAATTACATGGTAATTGTACTAAGGTGCCATTTTTAGTTTGCTGTAAAAGGAAAATCTATCACACAAAACCCTCTACTCTAAAATGAGGCTTGCAATTCAATATCACTCAATAAAGACCTATCAAGGCTCAGTTGCCTGGGCACTGAATGAAGGGCTAGAGGAAAGAGAATGTACAAAACCCAGCTCCTGTCCCAAGTAACCCGAGGTCCTGCTAGGAGGGAATAAAGGCAAGCATCATAGCCCAACATGGTAAATGTTTTAATAGAGAGGTCACTTACAACAACACCTAGGCACATTCCATTATTTCTCTCTAGATGAAATTTTGTGTCCTTGAAGCCCCCACTTGGCAGATTCAGAAGGAACTCCTTCTTAGATCTGTTGCTGCTCTTCAAAGTCCATGTACAAGTTCCACCGTCAGAATCCTCAGAGAATCCAGATTAATCAGGGAAGGTTCCATGGCCTTCATTCATCATGGCCTGGTCATCCCAGTAGGCTGGTTGACTGAAGTCTGGGGCTTCCCTGAAACGCACAGGCTCTTAGGATTTGGACAGTGAGTTCAGCATCTAGTCCCATCTCTGAGGCATTCAAGGCACCCAACAGAAATCCTGTCTCACCTCTGGAGGCCTCCATATGAATGAGCTTTCCCAGTTTCAGAGCAAGGTCTCCAACCTTCTCTCCACTCCAATCATTTTCACCCCACCCAAGAAAGACCTCAGGGAAAGTCTCTCAAACATTTCTCCTCTGGCACCAGCCAGCCTTTAGAAACACAAGTGAATCATGGCTTTCCTGTAACAGAGATGATGCCATGGATTGAACTGTGTCCTTTCAAAATTCATATGTTGAAGACCTAACCTCCATATGACTGCATATGGAGACAGGGCCTCTCAGGAAGTAATTAACATTAACAAGGTTATGATGGTAGGGCCCTGATCTGATGGAATTACATCTTTATGAGAAGAGCTCCCCTCCTCTCTCTCTGTCTCTCTCTTTCTCTATCTCTCTATTTCTCTGTTCCATGGGTGGGCACAGGGAGGTGGTGGCTGTCTACAAACCAGAAAGAGAGTTCTCATCAGAAATCAAATAGACCAACACCTTAATTTTGGACCCTTAGAATCCAGAACTGAGCTCTAATGCTTGAGATAAGAGCCAACAGAGAAAAGGAGAGGGAGGGAGCATGTTCCACACAAAGGCCACAGCATTTCTGAAACTCTAGAGAGCCTTGTAACAGCTTCCTCCATTAGGGAAACAGAAAGGGAGTTTCTCCAGAGCGCCTGGCATTCAGAAGTTCTATGACCCGGAATTAGATTAGAAAGATAGGCTTATAACAAACCAGGCTGAGGAGTTGAATTTCATCCTGGAAAAGATGAAGAACCTTCCACTCAATCTGTAAAAATGGTTACTAACTGCAGTTACACAGTCATCACTTTTGGTGAGTTAATGAACTCATTAACTTCCTTCATAACCTGTTTAATGTCTTCATACAGCTATCCCTTAGTACTTAGGGAATAAAAGTCTTTGAAATGTTTTTCTTTATTCTAAGTAGCCCTGCTTTTCGATGATTTCAGTTTTATCGACTAGAGTGAGTCCAACCTGTTTATTACTGTCATCCAAATGACTAAAACTGTAAGATAGCTATTATCTGGTTGTTCCAGTTGTACTGTGTAATTGGGGAGATTGCTAAGCCTACTGACTGTGGAACAGTTACTTTGAGCTTCCATTTTTAGCTTCTACAAAATAAAAGTTATAGGAGTCTTTCCAGAAATCTTGTAAGAAAGCATATTGGGCATATTTTCCATTTATACTGCAAATTTTCGGTGTGAAAAGAATACTGAATAACTGGGTGTAGTTTTAGTTACTGAGTTGCATGTCCTGTTTTGCTATAGCATGTGCTTGTCCATCATGAGTAGATTAGATTAAGTTCTAATGAAAAATGCATTTTTATAGTTTAGAAGAATCATCATAGGCTGTTAAAATTATAACATAAATGTGACTTGAGGATAAATTAAAATTGCTTTTATTTTTCCTATATAAATTATAATATAAAATGAGTTTGTTGAAAATCTATTTAAAATACAAGCCTCAGTTTGAATATAGTGAGAACTGAATCCTTCTATAAAGTTAACATTAAATCATCATGAGACATCATAAAGCATTAAGAGTTATTCTGAAATGTCTTTATTTTAATACCGCATTTCCCAAACTGCCAAAGCAGTTGGAAATCACTCCTAAAAGAATAGTGTACAAAAATGGGAAAGAAACGTGTTATTTTCCCTTGTTAACATTCTTAGTTTGAAGGATAAGAACAGCAATAATAAAGGATCAAAATAGGAAGTGATTTTTAAGCTGAAGTACACAATTTCAGGAATCCAGGTAAATCCTAAAATTTTCAGTTGAAAGTAAACCTAAGATTATTAAGAAGAGTTGTCTGTACTTAGGCAGGACCTCTGGCCACAGAAAGGGTAATGACCTTAAGAGGTGGGAGCTAACCCCCAGCCCACTGAGGAAACCTGCCTTGCACAACTCAGTGCCAACAGGTGCTGGTCTCACACACTCACTCGCCTCTGTGGCTTATGTGGGTGGTGACATGGCAAATGTGGGTCTCCTCACACACACCTATAAAATACAACCAAGGCAACTGTGTGATGTTTGGAATGAACCTGCTAATAAGGAAAGAGAAATTTGTGAAAAGAAGCTTAAACTAAAACCAAGTAAAAGATTGATCTTGAATAGTGCTTTAAAAAAAAAAAAGATTTTATTTATTTATTTATTTGAGAGAGAGAGAGAGAGAGAGAGAAACAGCACGAGAGGGGAGAGGGTCAGAGGGAGAAGCAGGCTCCCTGTTGAGCAGGGAGCCCGATGTGGGACTCGATCCCGGGACTCCAGGATCATGACCTGAGCTGAAGGCAGCCGCTTAACCAACTGAGCCACCCAGGTGCCCAGTCCTTCTTGAGACATAAAATGAGTTCTGCCATGATACAGTAGGTCAGAAGCACTTTGAGAATACTGCTTAGAATAAACGGTCACTGTAATAAGCAGTAATCGGGCAAATTACTTACTGGATCAGCAGTGAGGAATACTGTACAGATGTGTACTCAAATGCCAGGAGCCCTTGCAGACTTTATTTTTGGAAATTAGCTCTCCTTAATCTACCCACTTGCTCTTTCAGAGAGATACCTTCCTCCTACTTGGGAACCAAGGGGTCGTCGTTTTCCTCCAAGAGTAACCACCTCTGCTACTACCACTCAGGTTCCAGGAAAAGACACTGCTCTTCCTCTACCACCTCTCCAAAGTATGACTAGAGGCCCTCCACTAATTTCCCACAACGCCAGTGAGAACAGCCTTGACTTTTTTGTCATTTAAAAAGACTGCTGAGACTTGGAGTAATAGACAATTGAAGTCAAGAATAACCTATAATATTGAAGAGGAAGAAGAAAAAGCAAAGGAGGAGGAAGAAGATGAAGAAGGAGGAGAAGAACCTATAGTATCGCACTGCTGCCCAGGACAAGAGCCATCCCAGAATCTCTGTCTGCCTCCCCCTCTCCTGTCTTCCCATGGCAGGCACACCTCCCAGCTCTATCTCCACCCCCCGTGAAAATGCGCCAGGCAGCTAAGAGAACCTCAGGTTCAGACCAAAACCACCCTGGCCTCCCAAGCCAAGAAGGGTCCCCTTCCACTTTTCTATGTTGGGTCTATCAGGTCCTCAGTTGACATTCAAGGATTAATTTCTACCCAGAGTAATTGAAAGAGGGACTATACATTCCCTTCAGGAGAAAACTCACTCCCATCTACAGAGGTGTGGCTTTTCACTATAACCTTGGCAACAATCATACAAAATTCAGACACTTGTACATTTCTCAAATTCAGAATTATCCAATATAAATGACACCATGACAATCGTCCAATCTAGTTAGAATGTGCCAGGGTCAGAAAGCCTCCTTTTAGTCTGTCTTTATTCATTAATGATGCAAGAACTTTATAATGGTTTTACCTTTCTTCCACTAAAATCTTCAGACACCCTTACAAATATCTTCTACAAACAGGCCTTTTAAAGGTGGGAAGTGGTCTTCTAGCGACTTCTCACTGGACTGGAAGGAATGGTGATTTCCACACAAAATACAAAACCCCATTGTATGGGTGATAACTTCCTCCAGGAACTGGCCAAAAACAGTATAACAAAGCCCTGACTCAGGGTGAAATTTTAGTCCCTCTCATTGTGGAATCATCCCATAATTCTTCACTTCAGTCTCCTTCAGAGTGGAAATCTCCTCCCACTGGGTGAGGCTGTAGTTTCTCCTGGACATTCTCATGTCCCCAGGAGCTCATTGTGTGCATCCGTCTGTTCAAAAGGCATTGCTCAAGCAAGAAGGTTTACAGATGTGAGTGGGCTGATTTCCAGATCCCATGTGTCATTTATCTCCACGTCATCCTCTGATTCACTGCCCCATCAGCCTTCTTTTCTCCCACACATTTAGGAGGACCGTCCCTCAACACCAGCTTGGGGAAGCAGCATATCTCCCAGCTCAAATGCCTATCAACCAGCTCAGGACTAGAAAAGCAGCCTTTCCCACCAGTTCCCTATGGGCAGTAAATTATTGACTTCATATTTTATGGATTTATTGTTATTAATTTGTTTTATTGATTATCAATTATCTATTCATTATTTTTACTTACTCAAGATTTATTATTCTTGATTTGTCTTTTTTTCAGCCTGCCCAGTTTCCCAAGCCCTTCTGTCACTAGGTGAGGTTTTCCACCAATGAGCTATTTAGTCTTTACTAAATTGTTTAGCCAGTGCCACCACAATAATTGGTTCTTTTCTTGCATTGTTTTCAAGCGTCGTATTTGGGTTTGCCTTTCGATGTTATAAGCTACTCACATTCCTAACTGGTAAACTGGAGTCTTAACTTGCACGTACCTATGTAAGGTTATGCCAGATTCTCACCCCTCTAAACAACCTTAATGCAAGGGTCCTACCCAAACATTTACGAACACAAAAACTGAAGGGCTAGCAATATTCCTAGTAGGCATATGGGCATGTCCCAGGAAAGCTGTTTTGTTGTCACCTTCTACTAACTTTGTTTTTAAATTTTATTCATTTATTTAAGTAAGTAAGCTCGACACCCAGTATGGGCCTCAAACTCACAACTCTGAGGTCAAGAGTCAAATGATCTTCCCACTGAGCCAGCTAGGCACCCCCCACTTTCTACTAACTTTACAGTGTTCTCAACATGTTCAATAAAATTGGCTGTTTCTCCCAGATTCCAAGTTCTGTTCAGATGATGATCAGAGGAAGGTCTAATCTTAACTATAATACTTTACTTTTAAAATGAGAATCTTGGGCCAAAATCTCCTTGCCAGGCACCCAAAGTAATAAATATTTTTTATAAATGTCAGAATAAATGATTCCAAACTCAGAGGCATCCATAAGAACTTCTTTATTTCCTCTTCAAGAGAACATTAAGTAGCAATCAGATAATACCTGGAACAGCTTCTCAACCATCTAATGATGAATTATCTGATCTCAATTATCTGATCTCAACAATACTGCTGTATTGTTCCAAAGGTCTAGGCAGAGACTGGAGACCACTGTCTCCCACACTCCTCTCATCCAGGATGGGTGGACAAGAAGAAGTTGGGAAGGGACAAGCACTATGGATGTGGCCTTGAGATATTTTCTCTTCTATGGTGACCTGTTTTTATGT